TACTCGTTCTTCAGCCTGTCTGCTCTGCTTCCTAATCCCTAGATTAGGTAGTGAAAGATGGTGAATTATGAGGTAGGGAGACATGTTGAGACTGTAAATCTGAAGTTTAATAGGCAGTGGCCTCCTCATAGTTATTTTTCCTAGGCACAGGTTTTGAGCTATCCTCACAATGACCATGAACTCTCTTTTTAAACTCCTTTTCTGAAGACAAGGAAATGCAGTTTGTTGATGAATGCAGACCGTTGCATCTGCAATTTATTATTTGTTGTCCTACCTCTCCAAAATCATAAGGACCAAAGAAATCTGAATAGGAAACTATTTTATGGTTCTTCTGTTCTTATGGTTTATTTTTTCCCCCAGTGATCCACAGCTGTCCTCTGTGTCAGTAGTCCTCAACTTTTTCCAGTGTGAGAACCATCTACCCTCATCAAAAACCATCCAGGGACTGTCTTGTACAGCCCTATCACAGTGGTTTCCATTTACTAAAATGTAAGACTTGGTTCAACTTGGAACAGCTATGAATTACTCTTATTTTTTCTCTATCTATTTTGCCTGCTTGCTGAGTGGGAGCGTGTGTTCAATGTTGGGTTTCTTGTGTCTTCTTCCTTTTGGGGCTTTAGGCGTCCTGTAACTGTTTGGCAGTCTGTCTGCAGGCCACCAGTGGTGCACGGACCCTGGGTAGAGGAGCACTGCTCAACATCTCTTATTGAAGCAAGTCCCAAGCATAAAGATTTCCACCAGTTCTCACTGCCAGAAAACTTGTTTCCTCAGCCAGCATTTCAGTCTGCATCATCCCCATCTTCACATCCCATTGCTCCTGTCACTATTGTTGAATGTCATCCGGAATAATCCCCTCCTTGGCGCCAACACCCTGGTTTGAGTACTCTTTCACCTCTCTCTTGTTGGTTAGCTGTGTTACTCATCCTGTAAACTGACTTTCATCGGTCACGTTTGCCACCTTCCTAATAATGTTGCTATGCAGAAAGTGAAAACAGAGGAGAGAGGGAGCTCCCTGTGAGATCAGATAATCTTGAAGAAAAGGGAGAATAATTTAAGGAAAATATAGAAAGCAGACACCACAAAGTTCATGCCAAGTCATACAATAAAAGCGAGGACAAAGATGGGGGAGGAACACAGTGACAGCATTTTGAATTTTAAATTTAATTATTATGTGTTGTTTCTAATAACAAAAATGCTACAGATACTTTTGGTACTTGTCTGAAGTGAGAGCTGAATGCTCTCCTCATTTGATGAGTCTTTCCTTCTTGCTGTTAAATTGGCAGTTCACTTGACATGGTCCACCTGGAGTCCTGGATGTATTTCAAAGGCAGGTCTCTCAGAGGCTACCAGGCACTTAGAAAAAGACAGAAATACCACTCTCTAAGTGTGCCCTGTAAAAACGTATGGC